CCAAGTCATGGATTGCTTGACCATATGCCTCTAATATTTTCCTGAGAAGCAAACAAACCCAACTTAATAAATGTTAATAAAGATCGTGTATTTCACAAAAAATATTATTCGGTGACAAAGTGGTTCTTTTGTTTCTAATTAACAACCACTTTGTGTTGTATCATTCAGGAGCCGAAGCAACAGAAGAAGGATATACGGTGAAACAAGAGGAACTCAGTGTTGGTCCTCTCTGATTTTATTTTATTTGAAATCATCCGATTGTTCGGAGATTTATTCCGCTAGGTGAAAAAGTAACTTTACTTATAATACTGTGTTTATTGTTGATGAGTTTTTACATACGGTGAAAATCTAATATGATTTTTTTTTCTTCTAAATATATCATTCACATGTGTGAATATATAAAATATCTAACTACTATATTAACTTATCACATTCCTTACAATATATTTATTATGAAAGGAAGGTTTAATTACTTTTTTATTTTTATAATTTCGTAAATTTTATCTTTCATTTTTAGTTCTTAAATATATCATTTTTTTATTTTAATCTTTATAATAAAAACAACAGACAACAAGAATTTAAAAATAAACTAAAATGATATATATATATATATATATATATATACCTTTTTAACCATAAAAATTAAAATCCTTAGAATAGTGGATTTGAGCCTAACTCAACCCTACAAAACTGGCTTGTAAGGTGAGAATTGCTTTCCACTTATATACTATTCAATTGTCTAATCTCTAGTCGATGTGGGACTTGGGTTTTTCCCAATACACCCCTCACATCCATCACTATTGAACTTGGTACGTAGATAAATGGTGGGTGATCCTTTTAATGATCTAGGATTAGCGGGACTTGGATTTTTTCCAACACACCCCCTCAAGTCTAGCACTATTGGGCTTGGTACGTGAATAAATGGTGGGTGACCTATTTTTAAGAATCTAGGATAGCTCTGATACCATCTTAGCCAATGAAATTATAATAATAAAAAAACAATGAAAGAAAAATATTCATCGTACACTTATTTTTTTTTCATTTAATCTTTATCATCATTTTGTTCACGTTTTTCTTTTAACTTTTTTTATTACATCACTTATTATTTCATCTATTATTAGTTCCAATATTTTTGTACTTTCTTTTTATTGCATGTTGACTCTCTTTCTTCCGCTACAATTTGTCCCATAAAATGTATGTTTATTCATTATTATTATTATCTAACTACTATACTAAGCAAGACCCTAAGACAAATTTTTAAGAAAAAGCAATGAGTAAAAAAATAAAAAATAAAAAAAAAACCTGTGATGGGGTGACACATTCAATTGGGAGCAGAAATCTTGAAGTGCATGGGGTGAAGAATACATGTCATAGATTCCCAAACCCTCGTAGAGAGGACTTGTTACAGTCGATGGCACATAGCCACTGTCAGGGATGATGCCTTTGTTACGCATTTTTATTTCCTTTGGAAGATCATGCAAGTATTTAGCCACTAATTTCATGTCAGCCATGAGTGTTAGTGGAATGGGGTGGTTCATGATCCTGAAACACCCACATTTCTCACATGCTTCTCTTAGCTTCTTCAACTCATCTTCATCTGTTGAAAGTTTCTCGAAATCCACCACTGGGATCTTTGCCTCCATCGACCTCTTTCTCTTTTCACCTCTCTTTCTTCTTTCTTCTTGTGCCTTTTTCTTGCTTGTGTGAGCCAGAAAGAAGAAGAAACAACTCTTATTAATTCTCAAGATTGTCGGCTGAAGCAAAATATAATAAAAAATGAAAACATTATTAAGTGATTCACATTAATTAATTTATAATCCTAATGAATTCTATTTAATTAAGATAACGTGAGTCACGACATATATAAAATACCAATAAACTATTATTGTTTAAAGGTTTTTAGTGTAATTATATATAACCTATTTCATCTCTGTTGTGCCTTGTCTTGGTTAGAAGAAGAAACAACTCTTATTAATTGTCAAGTTTGTCGGCAGAAGCAAAATATATGATAATTTATCGAGAAGTGTGAGCTGTGACGTAGTGTGAAAACAAAGATATGATATTGGGTGATGCTGATGCATATGCACTTTTATTATCAATTCTCTTGTTGTTTTATTGTTTTTACTTTCTATTTTTTTTGAGGAATAATGTTTTGCGAACATAAAAAATTAGCCGGCGTCTTAAGACAGAGATATAAGAGGCAAGAGTAACGTGATATGAATAGATTAAAAATAAATAAATGAAAGTTTTAAAATGAATAATTAATTGTACCTTTAGGTACTCATAATATTATTATTGATTTTTAACTACATGGCTTTTTTTTTATATGGAATAATGAAATTTAGACATCTTAATATAATTTTAAATTCTTCATCAATTTATATCAATATTATTAATAAAGGTGATATTTTTTTTGTGATACTTCCTATCCTTCATGCATGAATTCAATAATATAAAGAAACTTGTAGTTTGAAAAATATTTCATTAGAACTAAACAAAATAATAAGGGTAGAAGTATCACATTATAATTCTCTAAAATATCAAGACTAAACTTGAAAGCAATTATAAAGAATACTAACTAAAGTAGAAATATTTTGAAAGAAACTAAATTCTTATAAAAAGCTCTGATATCATCATATCAGAGTGATCTCAACATAAAACTCAAACTTTTCTATAATTAAATTCATTTATTCAAACACAACAAAACAAAACCACAAAAGTAAAAGAGAGAGAAATAATTTGAATCTGACTACCTGTGTAAGAAATGGCTAGATAGTTACACACATACAATAACATAATATAAAACATACATGTAATTCATTAACAATTGTTCCACCTATCACGTTATAATAATCAAGCAATAATCGTACAATCACAATCTATTACATCACATCTTATCTTATATCAAGTCACAATTCAAACACAATACTATGTTCATGCAAGGACAAAACTCTCCTAAATTATATACATGTGGTGCTAGTAAAATTAGTTTATCGTCCCTACCTGGAGGTTTAGTCTAGAAGTTCATGTTAGATCAAGCCATCACAACACTCAACACTAGGAGAAAATACTCTAGTGGTGCGTCAAAATAGCTATGTTGGTCAAGTTTCACTTTATGTACACAAGGCGACAGGACTAGAACTCCCAAACCTAGTTATCCCCAAGGTCATGAATCCCCAAGCTTTTACACAAGGAAAACCTTCCTTGGCAGCGTACACATTTCACATTGTACTCATCACAAAACACGTTATATATGCAAATAATACATGTCATACAAACTCTATGCATGGTATAACAAATTCACATTCACATGATTTCACATTTCACAAGTCACATCCTTAGGCTTACACAATTACTTACATGCAACATATATCACATATGATGGAGAACCAATATCCTTGAAGACCATAGGACCTTTGACAAGGTCTTTGGTTAGGAGGCTAGAGGAAGCTACTAGAGTGGAATTAAAATATGTGTTCTCCTAGTTTCTTAGTATTCTATTATGTATAGGTTATTTTTTACCTTATATTCTGGGTCAAGTAGTATAAGAATTTGTGTCCTTGTATAATTTTTTTCTTTGAGGATGTAATTAGTAGTTTAGTAGAAGTGTAACTAGCTAAAGTCATGATTGACATATTTGGGCTTGGATAGCCCAAATCTTTTTATGGCCTATAGGTTTGGACATCCATTTGCTCATGGAAGTGATTTGGACGTCCAAACCAAGCCAATCTAGCCAACCAAGTTATTAAATAAGTCACATGATTTTTGATTGTGACATCTTAATAACTTGTTAAAAGTAATCATTAGTTTGGTAGTTGTAATAATTTGATTAGGTAGTTGGAGTTAACTTGAGCTAACCTAAGTTATTTCTAAACTAGGATTAGCTTAGGTTAGTCCATAAGTTTCTAGATACTTAACTAGGGTTAGTTAGCTTAAGTACAAGATAGTTAATCATGGTTACACTTAATCATGGTTAGTCTAGCTTGCATCATAAGCCAACCAAATCCTATATATTATTTTTCTTATATTGGATGAATAGTTTTGAGCATTTATTGGAATTGTATGAAATTTTCTCTCTAATTATCTCTCTCAAAACTTGTTTCTCTCCTTAAAATTCTTTATTTTCTCTTATCATCTCTTGAGCATGGTGAGAAATTGAAGAGACTTATCACTCTTCAAGAGTGTGGTGTCACATCCTATCTTCTCTTGTGTGTTAGAAATGACTTATAACATCATTGGAAACCATTGAAAGAGCTTGAAGGAGTCCAAGAAGCTAAAGATCTAATAAGCTTGAAGGAGAAGCTACATCAATCTAGTTTCTCCTAAGGTTTCCATCATTTGGTATCAAGAGTAAGGTCTTCTTGGTAAACTCTTTCCATATCTTCTTTGAGTCTTTTTGTTTTAGTCGCAATGTATATTCCTTGATTGTATTGTGTTTGTATGGATTAGAAATATTCTTGTGTCACATATATAAATCTATAGAACAATTCACTTTATCTTGTAGTTTTTGATTCATGCATATATTCATATGAATCAATCTTCATTGTGT